CTACGAAAAAACCCTCCTCACGTATCACCAGGTAAGCGGCAACATGTCTTTATTCACCCAAAATCCAATGCACAATGGGATAGATAACTACAGTAGGTAGTCCTCCTTAATCCAACAAATAAATGTATTCAGCACAGAGTTTTCGTTTTTGCCGCCGTTTGTACTTGTCGCCGCATGTGACGATTCGCAAAGCGGTGGCTACCACACACTGCAGTTCGTTGGGACCACGAACGGTAGTGTCTGGTGTTGTTGGGGAAACTCGCGGATGACTGGCGCTCGCTGCTGCTCTAGTCCCGCCGCTCTGTACACTGTACAGTAGTAGTCCCCTGAATGCAGCAGCATGTCGTGTCGATATGTCGGGGACGAAGTCCGATATCTGCATGTTTTTTGCATGTTCATGTCCATGCGATCTCGCAGGGTTTTGAAGCAAGATGTCGAGATATTATGTCCATATCGCATGATATCAGATATATATCCCGATATCGTATCGACGATATGTATCCCGATATCGTATCGATATCGCATGATACGAAGGACGATATAATATCTAGATATCGTGTCCATATCCCGACTTTTGGGGGTAGATATACCGATGTCGTATCTTGGTGGTTTCAAATGCGATACCGAACACTAATTTGAATTCACCACCTCTGCGACCAGCGGTTTCGAGGTGACCACTAGCCCACCGGGGCGACCGGTCATGCGTGTACACACATGGGGTGTACCTCTTTCTCTCTGACCCGTGATGGTGACTCCTAGTCTCAGTTGTTACCTCGCATAGCGTGCAGAGGGGGAGGACTCCAGAATATCTGTCGTTGATTTATATTGACTGCGGACCCGACGGGGCCAGTTTATTTGAGTGTACCTTTTTAGGGTAAGTTAGCCTGTGACCACGGGAATCGACCGCGTCAAGTGTTGGATCAGTACGGACATATGAAGGTACTGGGTAAAGAGAGATCGGAACGGTTTTTGATGTGAAGACAACAACAACAACAACAACAACGCACAAATCACGGCGGCAAGGTACCGCAGTGAGGCACTAAACAACAAACTAGCGAAGCCCTCTGAGCTTCAAGATCTTACATAAAATCACGGCGGCAAGGATGGTACAGCAGTGCAGTCCATGTGTGGGGTTAACAGGGATGGGGAATCGGGTGTATGGAAGGGTGACGAACAGGAGTAGTACTACCACTGTACAGCACATGCATGAGGAGAGAGAGTTATTGACGGCAGTGTGTGAGCATGTGCATGCCTCTCTCTGACAGAACCACTTCGCACAGAGGATGTGCCTGTGCAAGCAATATCTGCTGGCACAAGGTTCTTCTCTGCCTCATCGCTGGACAGAGGACACGGCAAGCGCATATCCAGCAGCGCTAGCGCCGAAATCGTTTATGGGAACCTTCTCACACACGCACCAGCAAATCGAGCATCATCCACTATCTCGCACAAAATGAAGAAAGCCATCATATCCTAGACGGTTTCGGATTTTTGTCCCCCAAAACGTTCACTTTTATCTTTAACAGCACCGTTCCTGGGACCTGTTACTGTTAACGATGTGATGTCACCATGTCAACATCAGGGATGGATCCGATCAGTACGACCAGCGACCAAGTCACCAAAATCTCCCAAACAGATGCGTCCGTTGAACCCTTCGACGTTGCATGCTCCACAGCTCTGAGGTATGCATACCTTGCCACCAACCGAGATGGGTCTAATGGAGTGTTGTGAGCGTCTCCTGAAAGAGGCGCGACATTTTCGAGCTGGAAGGCAGATGCACCTAGATAGAGGCTGCACCGCAGCACACCCCATACGCGCGTCACTCTCGCAACGCTCGACGCGCGTAAGGCAGCAATCACACCACATTCGGCCAATGTTCCAGCCAGAGCCAACAACGCGTAAAGGCAGCAAGATTCCTATAGGATTGTTATGGGGAGATCGCTGCAGAATACAGTTGTACTGCTGCTGCTGTGCTGGTGTGTGTGTGTGAAAAAAAATTACTGCTGGCCCTCAATTCACAGCCCGCATGAAGGATCATCCGAAACCGTTTATATACAATTCTGTACTAACAATAGAGAGGGGTAGCCGGAACTGCAGTCACGAAACCCTTTCCCATAACGAAAAAATGCACTTAGCAGACGGACCTCCTTTCACTCCAAATATTTCGAACCACACACACGGCGCTTGAGGCCGACGCGTTCCAACCATCAACAACGGACTGTTTTTGCCGCCTTGATTGTTTGGGCCATTGAGATGTCACCGTCCGGAAAACGGGAACGCAGCTTACCCGGGCGAGTGTAGGCGGGTGGGCGGATGCGTGAGCGCATCTCCTCGAAACTCCGTGGGTGCGATCGACACCAAGCAGAAGGAGCAGCAGTCAGCCGCCGCAGCAAACCGCAATACAGCACGCCCCGTACACGGTGCTGTCGTGCTGCGTCTTCATCAGCAACGTGTGGATGCCCGCCGAGCTTCTTCTGTTTCCAGAAGGACTCATCACATGTTTTGAATCATTCGGGGTGAATGCTCAGCAAGGTTCGTGCCAGAAATAGCAGCCACAGTTTTCTTTGTTCAACAACGTACCGTATATCTCGGGAGAGAGTAGCATGAGCAAGCAAAGCTGCAGTGGCACCGAACAGCCATACAACACACCGAGTATACCTTCGGTGCTGTGATGCTCGGCGAGTTCATTTTCCCTCTGCAAAGGCACACAATGTTATGTTATGCTGCGTTCGGGATAAAAGTTCATGCCACACATGCATTAGCCAGTTACTTTTGCCAATACATACGTCATTACTCGAAATATGAACGGACATGTACGAGAAACACACCCAGCATGAGCAGGCACAGTTGCAGTAGCAGCGCACAGCCATTCGACACACCACATACACCTTCAACATTGTCGTGTCCTACAGTCTGTCAGCAGCAAGGAATATGCTCGGCGAGCTTCGAGCTTCCTAATTTGCTGTCTTCTTCCGTACGTCATCGGCCGGCTTTACTTTGATTCCTTCATGTCCGCTAGTGCTAGTGCTACTTTTGGTAAGCCTAGACATGATGCTACGCACTGACAACAAGGGCAACGCTTGGTGGTTGGTTGTGCCATTGTCTGCCTCCCTCGCGTCGATCACCAGGAATGTTCGTGTACTTGGTACACGATCCAATATTATTGCCTTGGGTCACCCGCCAAGGGCAACGAACAGAGAAGACTTTGCATTTATGTCGTCTACCTTCCTCATTGATGTGGGCTGGAACCCACTCATATGGTTTTCGTTGTGTGTAAATGTATGCGTACCACTGTCGATGTTTTGGTGCTTCGGCACATTTGTCTCTGGAGGGAGAAACTATTTTTTTGCTTCTCAGGGGAACGCGGGAGGCTCGTTTAATACCTCGTACGCCCGAGGACCACCAGACATCCGTGGCGCGCGTAATCGACGCCTAAAAACGCCGCCACTGTCTCTATTGCACGGGGAGACATTCCAAACCAGCTATTCCTGCGCATGTATACAAAACAACTACATACATGAAATTACAGAGACTTGTTTTGACTCGGGCGACATACGATCATAAGTAGTTAAATGTTCTCCCTCACATGCGATACTTTTACACAGAAATAGCAGCACACCGTGATAACATTGACCATGTCCGCTAGCGTCGCCCTGGGAGGTAAGTCATCAAACACCTGAGGTGAACCTTGTATCCGGAAGTCGAACAGCACAAAATCTACGCAAGCTAGGACTCCCCCGCGTACCACCACCATCTTTTCCCGTCAACTGTGAACTCCCAAGCAATTGGCTTTGGGGTGGGCTATCATTTCTCCATGGCGTTTTCAGATTCCACGGGTTCGCATTGGTAGGAAACGAGCGAGCTCGACCGCAAACTGTCGAAATAATGTTCGTGCAGAAACGCCTGTGGGCGGAGGAAGGTTGAATTGTCATCAAAATTACAACACGCTTGTTTGTAGGTCAGTAGATATCCTCAAACGATTGGTGCCTTTGCCGCGACCAACGTACGTGGAACAAATTGGAGTAACAGAGAAGCATAGAGCTAGATGGGTCGAGAGTTCGCCCATCATGGTCTGCCTTACTAGATGCTCTATTGCCGACGCTGGCAGTTTGTTACGAGACTGTTCGCTGCGGGGCAATGGGGACATCTATCTTGGGGAGATTTAGTGGAGGGATCCTGGTCTTTGCTGCTCGCACAAAACCTGGGAAATGACCAAATCTTTGCAGATGTGCGCTCTTGTTCTCGGTGTGTCCGAAGCAGAGACCCGAGCGTGGGAGCAACACGAAATATGATCAAGATATGACACCGGAGCAAAACCAGCAGCATGGACGTGAAGAAACAGACCATCAGGCAAGCATGTGCACATGTGCTTGAAAAAACAACGACACCAAAACGGACAGCGTTCTACGCTCGACATTACTTGTCCAGGCACTTGTCAGGAAATTGCAAGTATGCAAAGTAGCGGTTGACTGCACGCGTGTTTTTTCCCAGCAGGAACTGTGTGTCGAAGCCCGACAAATGTGTGCGGCACACACACACAGCACACACAACTGGGGAGCGTATTCTCAATCATTATTCTCTGTGAAGCGGTCGAACGGCTGCTGGGAACAGGTCGAAAGTTGTGGGAAACAGATGAACGGCTCCCCGAGGAGTTTTTTTATAGCTGACGGGTGTGTTGTGCATCAGTTCGTGATATTGGCCACGAAAGCGTGGACGCCAGAGGAGTGCCCCCGGCGTAGGGGAAACCTCCGTGTATAATACGAAGTGGAGACCAATTCACTGGCCTCTCGACTGACGGCCAACAAGACAGGAACACGCAAAAGTAAACAACCACGACAACCCAACTGTATTCGCCTTGACTGGCGCTTGGGATGCGCAGCGGACACGGCATCCTCGACATTAAACAGTAAACAGGAGGTGTTCGGGGATGGCTCACATGTCTTTGGCCTCCCCGGCTAAGATCGCCGAGTGTGTGGGTTCTCTTGTTTACCGGCTCCAGCTAAATGACCACTTACGGGGCGAAGGCCGCGGCTGCGACAGCGGCACAAGCACAGACCATGGGCACCACCATATTCAACGCATTCGTGTTCCGTCACCGTTTCGACAGGTGGCCCCTGGCCGGGCTCCGCAGCACGCAAGCCCTTCTGACGCTGATCACCACCGCGCAGCTGCACCGGAAGCCTCCCAGCGACCTCACCACAGCGGAGGCAGCGATTCAGGAGTCACACAGCATCGGCGGAGTGACTGGGGGACGGGGCGATCAATGAGAGGAGGAAATAGCCCATGTGCACACGCTTGGCGGGGCTGGAGGAAGCCTCGGGCAAAGGGGCACCGGCTTCGGTCGAGGTAGAGGCGACAAAATATACGCCGACCGCAGCTCAGTATGACCTGGCCGTCGAGGTCATCCATAAGGTGGGTAACAAGACGCTCGTTGAGCTGGTGCAGGCAGCCGATGTGACAAAGCTACACATTGCCTACAGTTAGTTCGTTCTGTTCTTTGTTTCTGTCTTGATGCATTTGTTCTTCCTTGTCTCGCGTCGGCCCCGGCATGTTTTGTCCCCCAACTAGGCATATTCGAAAGGTGCCACCCACAAGTCGGGTGCGTGGATGCGTCGGCCGGATATCGGAAGAGGCGGAGAAAAGGCACCGGGTGTATTTTCTTTATTGTTTTTTCTTCGTTTTCTTTCGCACCCTGGTGCGATCTCTGCGACCCGTGCGATGTCTCCGACCCTGGTGCGGAAATGCAATTAAATCATAAATGTTGCTTCTTCATGGCACCTCGGTGAGATCTATCCGATGGGTGCGATACCTAATTAAATGCACACAGCGGCCCTACTGGTGCTACGGCGGTGTTGTATGCACGCACTCCGGCGCCATCTCCCCGATCGGTCCCATCTGTCCACCTGCTACGGTAGACGGGGGTGTGAAATATCACTATTAGGCCATTTCTTACGGTTCTTTTTTTGGGCTGTCTGTTTCTTTTTTCCTTCTCAAAACAGACAAATGGCCAAAGAACCCCTTGTAACGGTGTCTTTTAAAAGACAACCCGTTTTGGACAGCCCATCCTGTCTTTTTCTGGGGCAGTTTTGGATAAGTCGGGGCTGTCTTTTTCTGTGATCTTTTTTTGGCCACAACCGCATGACTCCTACCTACAAACTTGAATCTCTCCACGGTTGATCCCCTCAAACCCTAACGGTGGTCACACGAGCTGTACCATGTGGCTGGTACAGCGTCGGTAGCACCGGCGGTAGCCGTTGTTTTTTCATTCGGCTGGACCAGGTGGACGACCCGATGTGTGCGGCAAATAAGCGGAAAACAAGCCGAGAGAGCCTGGACGCAGCAGCGGTGGGTCATTTATCGTGTACTGTCAACTTTGCGAACCCAACTTCTGGGCGTCCTATAGCCTCCTGGTCTGTATCAGCCATCACACAAGACGAACCATACGCACAGCTCGTGGCGCACACCTTTGTCATCGCTGTTGGTTGAGTGGGTGGCGAGCAAGTACCGGTAAACCAAAGTTGCGACACGGGCAAGGGAACAAAAAAAGTTGCTTGAAGATGCGGCGGGTCATTTTTCCCGCTTGTCCGCTACTCTCGCGCTCACAATCTCTGAGCGCCCTATAGCCTCCTGGTCTGTATCAGCCACCACACAAGACGGACCATACACACAGCTCGTGGCGCATACCTTTGTCATCGCTGTCGCTTTAGTGAGTGGCGAGGGAGTACCGGTAAACCAAAGTTGCGACACGGGCAAAAGAGCAAAAAAAACTGGTTGCTGGAGTGGGGGGCATTTATTCAGCGTGCTGTTGACTCTCGCCACCTCAGTTTCCGTGCCTCCTATCGCCCCGTGGTCTCTATCTGCCGCCACACAAGACGGACCATACCCACAGCTCGCGAGGGATAGCTTTACAGTTGCTGCTGCTTCACTCTGTGCGGAGATGTCACCGAAAAACCAAAGCGGTATGACAACGGCCGTTGCAGGGCCTCTTTTTTTCTGTCGATGACTTGGAAGAGAAAAAAGATCGACCAACACCATGAGAATGGGGGGTCATCATTTTTGTAGATCCCTTGTTGGGTCGTCCCTTCGGGGGGGAAAAAGAACAAAAAAAAACGACACCATAAGGAGTGGCCGTAGGTTGTTTGTTATGAGTCGTTTTTGGTCCGTCAAAAAAGTTACAATTTCTGATTCCAGACAAAGAATTGTTTCTTATGGGATCGGAAATACATATGTCCGGCTGCATGTTTTTGATTTTCACGTTTTCAAGCGGGCATCCGTTCCGAAATAGCATCTGTCCATCCAGAGAGTGGTCACGGGTTTGGATGTGAGTATGGCTATGGCATGACAAGGACGAAAAATGATGTGCTTTCCATCTAGGGTACGCACAATATCAGTTGGGATCCGCTTTCGTTTCGTCTATTTACCAACAATCTACCAATGCGTAACCAGCAGTACTGTGAATTCCTTGTGCAAGCTTGGGTAGGTTCGGCATGTCAACTTTCATACCACTTTCATGAACTTACATTGCCCCAACCGTACAAACGATTACCGCGCAACAATCGCGTTTTCCGTACTTTGAGTTACCGCGGATTACAGTACCGCAACAACAATAAAATCCCAACTACCGCACAGAAAGACCACGTGAATTAACTGTAAGCCAGCAGTAACATGCCCATGTGCCTCTCTAGGCAATGACGATAGCATCTACGGCCACAGACCGGTTGGCTTCAAGTAATGAGGTCACGAGAGCTTGCCTGCAATGAAGTGGAGATATGCTGTCTGGTTTTCTACCTTATTTTTAATGCGACCGGTTTGGTTGACGGACGTGATGCATGGTGAATGTGTCGCGCACTTTGTGCGCTCACCACATGCTTAAGGAACAATTCGAAACCAACAGAAACAGAGCACTACGTACCATGGTGTGGTTAACTTGTACAAATACAAGGTGGTCTGGCGGCTTTCGTCGCCCCGCTCAATAGATCGATTCCAAGATACGTGATTAGTGGTACTCAACATTCGTTGCAGTAAAAATTAGTTGAAAATTATACTAAAAATGGATCGCTGCAGAGAGAGGGAGGGCGAACGGACATTCGATTCGTGTCATACAGCAGTATCCGACAAAACACCAAAATGAAATAGGTGAACGGAGAGTGGCAGTGCTGGCGGCTTTCGCCGCCCCGCTCAATAGACCTCGACCTCACCGCCACAAGTGCGCCCGCCGTCTACTCGCGTGGTTCATCGTGTATTAACTAAGTAGCACGGCACACAAGAGTTCAAATGTATTTACACGGGGTGGGGAGTTGAAATATGATTGCTCGGCCACATATTATGGACTGGTGTGCAAAAAGCACTTGAGCCACGCAAATAAGATCCCGCAGAGACGGAAATGCGGCTCTGTGACACCGCTTTTTATGGGAGCAGGAAGCTGCAAAAAAAGCTGCAACTGTTGGTCGGGAACTTTTGTCAATGGAACTTTTGGTGCACGCTCGTTGTGGGACGAAGAAAGTTGCAAGAAAAGTTGCGAAAATTCAACATTCCCAACATTCTGCCTCCATAAAAAGCGGTGTGAGCGGCCGAGAGCGCCGAAATGGAGCCCTCTCAGCGCCCGAGAGAAATTTCTCCTGAACGCTCGTGGAATTCTTTACATGGAAGAGAGATACAACTGCGGTGACCAGTAACCGTAAAAAATTGGCACATTTCTGTGCAACACCGCGGTGGCTGGGTTACCGAACAAAACAATGAACGTGGCGACCAATTACCAGACGTTACCGAGGTGGCTAGCTACAGTACCGCCTTCAACTGCTGTAAATGGAGTATACCGTAGTGGCCAGTTGCCGCCCACTAATTACTGTATTACGCGGGAAATGATCGCGACATGAAAAATCATCAACGAGGACAGCCCTGGCAATTAGGGAACACTCGAACTACTCGTATCTGGTACTCTGGAGTGAAAGTATATTACAAGCGGGAGCTCCTGTACGCCAAAGAAACCCCGTGTGTTCGTTGTTTTCGCCCTTTTGATTATGGCGACAGTCCCCCCATTTTTCGTGGTGAGACGTGAACTACTATACACCTTTCAGTTATGTAGAATACTACACTTTCAGTGTATTTTTCTTAGAACTATAATCATCCAGGGTCACACAGGAGGCGGTAAACACCGGGTCCTTTTTCTTTTTAGTTTCGTGCCCCACCTTCCTCCTGCGGTGCGTGCTGAATGTTATTTTTATCATGAGAAGGGTCCAGCCGTCCCTTTCCCTCGTCAACGGTGCTAACGTCGTGTATGTACAGGAAAAGTAACAAGGATTCCTGTGTTGGTATGTAGCCGACAACAAACGGCGGTTCTCTATACATGGGGGAGCAACACCTTCAGCGATGCAGAACCGCTCGGGTTCATGTAACGCAGTAACGGCTGCGCTACCTTGCCTGAAGAGTTTTCTCCGCATGTGCTGCTGATGACACACATTTTCTTGCATGATTCGTGGCGGCAACCAACCGCACAGCCCTTGTCACAAGGCCTCTCACTTTTCGGGACGCTACTCCAAGTGCTTGAAAAAGGCATGTGATTCCCGAGTACACTGGTGCCAACGTTCCCCCCCTCTGCCTGTGCGAAATACCTGCACCAAACACCACTCCAAACGAACTGGTTCACGAAACAGCAGCTTGGCAGCGGTTGGCAGAGGGAGACACACAACCTCATCTACTTTATACTTCTACACATGCATACCAGTACATTCATTCATCTGCATACGGAATATATCATACCCCTCTTGATAAATGCCACACATGCCACGCTCTGCTGTGCCCAGCAGTAACCGAAACATCAGGTACCTCGCCCTGTCGCGGAACACCCTAGTCTACCTACTGCTATTGCGCGGGTTAACCCGCGTTATATTGTGTACAAGTCGACATGTTCTTCCCTTCCGGCTCTCGGTAACGACTGCTGTAAGCGCGTGTCTACTAAGCGCATGTCTACCTATCTCTGCATCTCTCTTTATCCCCGCCTTTCTCCCCGTGCCCCTCTCTCCCTCCTCTCCCTGTCACGAACTTGACTGCTGTCGATCGATAGTTGTCCGATGTCCCTCTGTTCTCTCTCCCATGCTTTCTGCACCCACCTCTCCTTTGTTGCTTGGAATCTCAGCCCCCCAAGCCCGATTCCTTTTCGTACCAGAGGTGTGCGTGTCAGGCCGACAAATTCTTGCAGTTCCAATGCACCCTAACACCAGTACACGCAATATGGGGTGCAGGTGGCCTGAAAGTCGGGACTGTAAAC